TGCAAGAACACACCTAGAGTACCAGTCAAAACCAGCATCTTATTATCTTATCATTCATTCATTCATCTTTATTCCTCGTATAATCATGCTTTAAATTGTATGAAGTCAATTGCGGAGGGCCACTCGTAACCTGAGGACTGCCGAGCACAGAGGTTGGGCCTAAACTCCCACAGTGCAGGGCGTCAGGCTCTGAGGTTGATTCTAACAAAGACAATCTCTGTCCCGCCACCCCTTTGAAGAATGCACCAGGTGCATTAGAGCCTGAGGAGCATCCTGAGCTATTAAGTCACTAAGGACCTTTGGAAGGAGAGATACAATCGGCACACAAGTTAGTGATCTTAGCTTGAAGAACAATCACCTGAGTTAAGAGTACACGAGTCACGATGTTAGCTTAGAGAAACAACAACCTTAGTTAGTGATCTTGGTATGTGGGAACATATACCCTAGTTTATGAGTATTATAAACAACATTGATCTATAGAACTATGCACAAGTTAGTGAGTTTAGTACACACTGTGTTTAAACCATAAAACAATACCTGTGCCTACGTGCAAGAATGCACAAGGTAGTCACTTGAATTTGTATAAATTAACTGCCTGAAATAAACTCGAGGTCCACTCTTGACTTAGCGTCTTGCGGGCTAGAGTGAGACCCTCTCAACCCCACCTTCTAGTCTTGTCTTTCTTTTCTCAGTCCTGCAGCACAGGTTTCTGGACCTGATCGATTGTCGGCTGGCTCCGACAGTCAATAGTGCCACATGCCAGTTGTATTTTAATATCTCTTTAAGTAAAAAGATTGAACCGCGATGTCGCATCAGAATTCCTTCCACTGAACACTTTTATAAACCCCTCTTTTACCAGATGTTTCTATTCTTCAGAAATCAATTGCAAAAATTAGGCTCACAGGTAAGATGGGGTATTATCAGAATGCATGCCTACAGTGTAATTCAAGCAAGGGGTGCGAGAAAGAGGACTTAATAATGGTTTGTGGTGAGAAGATTCACAGGAGCAAATATGTTCAGTGTTGTTTGTACACACTAAGGATGTGAGAGTTACATTTGCAGAACTAACATCAAAAATCTGCTGAGGGAAAGCTGTTTACATCTACTCTCAATCCCTCTGATTATTCACTGTTTTCCTCAATGTCTGCTATCTTCTTATTTTTCCCCCAGAAGGAAACAAAATCAAGAACAAACAAAATGACAGGAGAAATTCAGTGCACTAGACTCATGCACCCCTTTCACGAGCTCCCAGAAAATCAAGAACATCAAATGTCCTTCTTTGTGTTTTTCTTAGCATTGAATGCCACTATCCTTTCCTGGATATGGGAGGCAATCCTGATACTCCAATTAGGCTGGAATTTCTCTTGTCCCTTGCACATTTTAGTTTGCATGGTGGGCTGCCATTCCCTCAGGGTACTGCACAGTCTCATCCTGCAGAGAACGGCCATGACCGTGGCGCGTTCCTTTATACAGATTCGTTTCTTATATGCTCCACTCACCAGGGATTATTGTCTCCTGGCCAGAGTATCCTATGACCAATCCATGTCTGTCAGTCACCTTGTGAGCTACATAATCATGGTGTCTAAAGAAGTCTGGAGTAGCCTGCTGGCCTGGGCTCACCTGATTTCAAGGACACATACAATGATAGACTCTCTGCTGCTCTTTGCTGACTGGACCATCATCAGTTCCTTGTCTTACACAGCCCTGGACTCGAGCTCTTGGCTGTTAAGGATTTTGCTCAAAAGAGAACAGTTTTTTAAATTATGTTTCTGTAAAGATCACCAGTATTATTAGGACTGTCTTCATCTCCCAGATATCCAAGCTGGTTTTAGTCCCAAGGATTCTCCCCTCTGAAGCTTTTTTTTTTTTTAAGCTCTATCTTCCACCTCTCATTCTTGGGTCTATTCAACTTTCCTCTCTAAGGTTCTAAAACAGACGGTCTCGAGTCTTGTCCCAACTTGGACCAGGTAACCAGAGCCATAAGTGTGTTGCATCCTCTGCCACATACCTCAAGGCAATCCGAGGGAAGGAATTTCCCAGAAACAGCACCAAAGAAAGAGACCACTAAGTGTGTATCAAAGGAAGGCAGGCCTTGTTATTAACAATTAAGCCCGGGGGGAGGTGGTAGCCCAGTGGTAGAGCACATGCTTAGTGAGCACAAGGTCCTGGGTTCAATCCCCAGTGCCTCCATTAAAAAATAAAATAAATCTAATTACCCCCCCTCCAAAAAAACAAACCTGAATCAAACAAAAAAAGTAATAAAGTAAAAAAAAAAAGATTAAAAAACAAACAAACAAACAAAATAAACAATAAAGCCTAACTGCAGTCCAACATGGTATCACCTGGCCTTGGAAATGGGGGTAACGTATTCGAATTATAAAAATAATTATCAAATGCAGAAAACCAAAATGTTCCAAATATAAGAAGAGAAATAGTCAATATTAGAAAATATGCTTAGTGGTTGTCTACCTATTGTTTTCTTAAATAAAAATATATTTCATGCCATTCCTTTTTTTCTATGTTATGTTCTGTGGGGTCTCTGGGTGGTAAATACAGAAGGCATTCATTTCTCAAATATACAACACACCTTGCTTATTTAAGTTTACATAGTAAATGCTAAAAATTCTGTTACACATATCTATGGGCTTTTCTATCTGAAAGAAAATACATACCAAGTTAATTACAATTTCCAAGTACTGCTTGAATCATTTTCTTGGACAATACTTTTCTGTTATAGCACATTATTGAACAAATCCTGTGAGTCAGTATGCTGATGTCATTCGTATCAGTTTCAGACAAATACAGTGCAATCAGGCATTTGAATTGTGATATCCCCAGTATAATCACAACCCAGTGCATGTCTTTTCTCAGCTCATAAAGAGAAGAAACCTTCCTCAATCCAGACAGCTAAGCTGTTTTATGGGAAGTCACGGCACATGCACAGTCACAAATGCAAAGATAGTAAATACAGGAGTGAAAAAGCCTTCCTTTACTTTGAAGGTTGAATTGTTTCATTCAAATGATGACACCAACATTTCTTCCAGGCCTGTTTAAACTTTGGTAACATTAGGATAGGGTTGTAAGTGGATGCTCTTAGTTGCTTCACTTACTCCACAATGTATTCATATGGGAACATTTCATCAAGGGAAATTTAAATGCATAATAAAGCCTCAAACTAAATGCAACCAGCACATCAGCTACTCCAGGACAAACATGGTAATTCAGAGCCCCCAGTAACTAAGAGTTCAGTGAAAGACGCACTAAATCCATATGGGTTCCTGATGTGGTGAAACAAAGTATCAGTGGTCTTGAGTTATGACTCTGATGCTGTTTCCAGTCACCATCTCAAGAATTAACTTACAAAGACTCTTTCACACCTAGAGAAGGTTCTTTCTCAAAGGGTATCCCAGGCTGAATGCAGAAAACGATGTACCCTTTCCTTTAATACAAGCTCTTCCTAAAAACTGGAATTAAATCTCATGACCCAGTGGATTTTTAAAAACACCTTCTTCTTTAGAATTTCACTGGTGACTATCTGACACTCCTGGACTTAGAGCTTCTCTTTCCCAGTTTTGCCGAGCAGAGCAGCATAGTAAATTCTGGCTCAAAAGGGCCATGGTCAGTTTTCCTCAGCTCTGTGTGACCGCAGCATCAATTTCTCTCCTTCTCTTTCCCCTGCTAGGAATTCTCCCAGGGAAGATGCACAAAGTCACCTGCTTTCTGCAAAAACAGACTTTAAGAGGCCTGACTGTTCATCCCCTTAGATATTCAATTCCTATCACTGACTCATTAGGGAGTGTGAATTCCATACAAAAACCAATTCTTGGTAAAAAGTACATTGATTATCATTTGAACTTGGGCTAGACATGAAATGTGGCACAGATGGCAGTAGGTGAGCTGCCTCTCTGCCTCTGTCCTTTACTCCAGGCCTTAGTCACTACTCAAGATAGGTGTACATTCCAAAGGATGCTGAAAATAGAAGTCCCATGTTTTATCGTTTAGGTAACTAGGTTGTGATCGAATGCTGCATTTGAGGCCTATGGGACCCTCAGAACCGATCTTTGCTGACCTGGTTTTGAATAAAACTTTACTCCTTAATTTGATTCAACTCATGGACTTCTTTGATTAATGAAAGCTTATAGATTTACCTGCTGCAAGGGCAAAAGTGGCTAAGAGAGGCCACTAGAACCAGGCCCTGGGTCTCATGTGAACATTTCTCCTCCAGCTGCCTCCTCTTTGGTGTGAATCAATGGAAATGCTGAGAGACAGAAAATACACTTTCTAATTGGAGAACACTCTCACCTTAGCTCTGCTGTGTGTTGAATGCTGAGATTGGGGGCAGTGTTCTTTGCAGCAATAGTTTAAGGGCTGTGCAACATCACTGCAATTAATGACCTAGAGGATCCAGTCCTAATCTCTTTTTCCCTGGCAGCCAAGAGCAAAGACCAGATACATTAAAAAACTGACCTGGCCCCATCAAGTGGAGCTGACTGCCCCAATTTCAAGCCAGAGCAGAATGGGGGAGGGAGAGAGAAAGGGAAAGAGGTGTACAGGACCCTTAGAACCTTTCGTTGCTGACCTGGTTTTGAATAAAATTTTACTCCTTAATTTGATTCAATAGGAAATATATAACAGCAGGAAAAATGAAAACTGCTTTTCTCTTCATGGTCTGTTGTGATAAATATGACAGCCAAGGCCATCTTTTCTTTGCAAGCAAAACTTTCCATATGTGCATCCTAGTCACACAATCTGTACATAACTTACTTAGTTCCCTGTGAAACATTCCCTGGGCCCCCACCCCAGCCCCAACTTCAAGGCCACCTGCTGAAGATGCTCTTCCAAGGGCAGGAAGCCCATCTCCAAGCATCACACCAAAGGTTCTGGACTGGAGAGTCATCCTGAGAACATGCACCAAAGCATCCCAACCTGAGTCATCCTTAGTTACCAGGATGACTCAGGGATTCTAATTCCCAAAGGTGCTTTAAATCAAATGTGAAATATCTCACAGAAACTCTGTATAAACTGTTCCCTTGGCACCAGGGAGTGCTAGAATAACAAGAGATAACAGGCTCGTCACAGTTTAACTTTATAAATACTCACAGTTTGTCGGTGTGGAACACGGAGACCAAGCTTTCCAGTCAGACATGAAGAAGCTTGTTTGTCCGAATGGAAATACTCTAACTGAACGCTTCCGAGGCACTGGGAATCCTGACTGATCGACCGATAGGTGCTTGGTAAGTAGTCTTCACTCCCCAGGCTGTTGTAATACAAACTATAAGGTAGCCAAGAGAAGGGTTTCAGTTCTGGGACTGAAAAGGACAGGGCTTTAGGACAGCGGTGCTTTGCAACGATCAGAGAAGCAAATTGGGAAGGACTGGTTGACCCTGGCCTGGAATAGCTGAGATTTTTTTTGTCTGTGTGTCATTTTATGAGGAAACCCTAGCAGGGACCTGTTAAACTAGTGAAGCCTCTTAAATTGCATGCAAAGTTTCATATGAGTGAAACTTCTCTAGGAGCAGAAACTTAGCTTTCATCAGATTCTCAAAGAAGTTCATGTGCCCCTCCCTTCCCAGGGGTTGAGAATATTTTTCAATTGTTTGAATTGTTCAAACAAAGAAAGGAAAAACACAACAATGAATTATCAAACATTCACTATGTTAGTTAAACGCAACAGTAAATGTTAAAAATATCTGAACAAACTAAGACGCATTACTGAACTCATCCTAATATGCCTAAAATTTTCTCATAGGAGTCTAAATTTTTTTAAAATAGGAAAAACAAAATTATAAAATGGATGAATACTGAGGAATCATAAGTGGGAAGGTGGTATAGTTAAGGCTCGGGGATCAGCCCACTTAGTTTCAAATCCTGGCTCAACTACTTTGTAAATTTGGGAAAAACTACTGAATATTTCTGTGTCTCTATTTCCTCATTAAGAAACTGGAAGAAAAGATCATTATGTACTAAATAAGATAATGTAAAATAAAATCTCTTAGCGTGTTAGAAGTATTCAGCTCATCACTGGTTATAATCATTATGTTTGAGAGTAAATCACAGTACTCTGTTTTTTTTAAGTGACCATAGATTTTCTTTTCGGTAGAAAATTACAGGTCAAATATTTATTAATAGAGATTGCTTTTCTGGAATTTATTGTCAAATCCAGTTCTGAGAATGAATAGACTAAACATTGAAGTTATTAATAAGCCTCATTCTTTAAAAAAACTTTTTAAAAATTTTTATTGAAGTATAGTCAGTTTACAATGTGGCGACAATTTCTGGTGTATAGCATTATGTTTCAGTCATATATATATATATGTTCCTTTTCATATTCTTCTTCATTGTAAGTTACTACAAGATATTGAATATAGTTCCCCATAATAAGCCTAAATCTTAATTGTCCTTGAAGAAAATCAGAGTATATACTGGGTTAAAAACTATTAAGAAAGAGCATTCAATTAGAAGTCTTTTAGGATGCAGAAAAGCATCTCCATAGGGTAAATAATGAATAGATATTGAACTAACAGAAAAGAAATTGTTAAAAATCTAGAAATTAGAAGTAACAGTGTCTTAGAAACTTCAGGGACAAACATGCCATCATATCAATAACAGCCAACACAACAAAATCATCTGTCACACAAGAGCTGTTGAATAAAGCTAGAGTCTGCCCACTGGTTTTCTGGGGATTTTCCAGAGTTACTAAACCCTCCCAAGCCTCAGTTTGAATTGAGAACTGTTACAGTACTTCGAAGGGGCAGGAAGACTTCACCAATTCTAGAAACCAATTCAAAAAGAATGTTTTCCTGCCTTTAGATGGCACAGATCCAGAACAACACACACTTTACTGAGTAAGATTGTTTATATGCAATGCTTGAAGATTGCAGGATTTTTGTTTTTTGTTTGCTTGTTTTGTTTTGTTTTGCTTTAAGTTATTACTGAGAGAGAGAAGACCACAACAAAACAGGTCACCTCAACCATAAGCCAGGAGTGTCAGAAATGACCGTATTTAAAAGTTTCCTTATTTTCTGACATGAATTCACCTGAATATCTTAGGGCACCTAAGACTGCTACTCCTCTCCCCAGCCCTTAAAGGTACACTTTTCCCAGAGGTCTGTCTTTGAACCTTTCCTGATACTTCTCTCTCCCTGAATGATCTCGCTGGTTCCCACAGCTTTTACCATCCTCTGTCTACTAATGACTCCCAAATCGGTATCACTAGCTCTGACTTTGCAATAGACACCACTGTCCCCTCTAACTGAATTCAACACCCTTCCGTGCAGCTCCACTCCAAGCTCAGACATTCTGTTTCTACTAAAAGCACTACCCCTCTGTAACACTGTTACATAACTACAAGGGAAATTTTGCTTGTTTTTTTCCCCCTCAATTATATTTCAAGTTTTGAATTGTATAATATTAATTTTGATGTATGTGTATGTGTACTTAAATTGTATCAGATCTCCTCAGTTAAGAAACAAGGTAAAATTAAACTCTTAATTCTTAGGTTATCATTACCTCGGTCTCTCGAACTTGAAAACTGAGAGTCTCAGTCAATTGACAAGTGGATGCAGACTTTGCTGTAGAGTATCTCTCATTCTTATCTCGTTTCTTCATTCCTACCATCATTTCCTTGGTTCACATCCATATCATCCCTTACCTGGAAATCATCCTAGCCAGTGTCCTGCTGGTGGCATTCTCCCTTCAGTGCATTATACACACACCTCCAGATTAACTCTCTGACAGCTGAGTGCTGGTCAAGTCACCCTATCGCTCAAATGTTTAATGGGTCCATGCTCACTACTGAAATAGCTGTTAAAATCTCCCTGGCATGCGAAGCTCTTCACAATATGGCACTACCTACCCCCATCCAGTTTGTTTCTCACTAATCTCTTTCATATATGTTTGCTCTTACCTGAAAGGATGCTCACAGTCCCACAAACATGCTCTGAGCTCAACTCCTTGCTCAACTGTTCCCTCCTAAAATGCTCATCTCTGACCCAATTTTCACTTTCTCAGGTCCTTTTCATCTTCCAGTGACCAACTCAGTTCATTTAAAAGGCTGCTTACTCCCTACAGGGTACAGGTTAAACTCCTTATACTGGATAAGGCCCTCAATTATCTAGCTCAGACATGGACTTCTAGCCATGCTTTTCATCACTTTCTTACCGGCCTTAGATCCAAACAAAAGGGATCGTTCCTGACCCCATTCTCTAGGGCAACTCTGGATCTCTTCTCACTGCACCACACCTTATGGGTCAAGACCAAAGGGATGTGCCTACCCAGAGTCCATCCTATATACTGCTCCTAGACCATCTTCCAAGAAACAAGACCTCAAAATTCCTTGCCCAAACAGCCCCCAACTCATTCCCAGAGTCTACAAGAGTCTCCTTCCCAGATCACCCTTGTGAGGGTGAACCACACTACTGGTGTTCATGACCTGGGCCTTAAGGGGAGCCCAGAGATGGCTGCTCGCAGGGCTGTGAACAGAGCGTGTCCATGCAGGCTGGCGTGTCCACGCATGTGCAGCCACGCGTGCAGATTGGCGGCAGATTTTCCTTGTGCCCCCTCATTCCTGCTTGGAGTTACTACCATCCAAAGAATTCTGCCTTCCAGGTTATTAGAAAGGTGTATTTGTTAAGGAGGGAGGATAAAGCATATTTTATTAATTTGTTATCTTTATTTTCTGACTTTTACATATTTAGACATTTGATATGTGGGCGTCCCTTTGTTATTCTCACCCTGGTCCCTGCCAATCTCAAAGGCAGGACTACCCCGAGGGAGCCTGTTTTCTAACCACACCAAATATCTGCAGGTCTTTCATGCCTTGTTTTTCTCAAACATCAGTTGCATTACACTATTAGAAGAACTCAACAGAACTGACTAAAAAAATAACTTTTAAATAATGAGAAACTATAGTAAGAAAGAAGTTATAAAATTAATTTACAAAAATCAGTAGCTTTCCTATATGTAAACAATACTTAAATAAACAACCAAATTAAAAAAAAAAAGATTTCATTTACATCAGTTACAAAAAGATAAAATACCTATGAGTAGACCTTAAAGAAATATGCAGGACTTTCATCTGTAAAGTTTAAAGAAAACTTAAAAACTCTTTTTAGGAAAGACTCTAGTAAGTGAAATATATACCTTAGTTATAGAAAAGAAGATTCGATTGTAAAGCTGTCAATTCTCTCCAAATTGACATATTGATTCAATGCAATAGCATTTTAAGTACAAACGGGATTTTTTTTTTTTTGGAACTTGATATAATAATGCCAAAGTTCATCTGGAAAAATACATATGTGAGAACAGCCAGAAAATTTGCTCCCAGATATTAAAATCAGGTTTTTAACTATTGTATTTAAATGTTTGGTCCTGGTTCTAGAAGAGACTACAAAGAAAAAGACCCAGAAATTAGCGCATACACTTATGAATGTTTTGCTTTACAAAGAATCTGGAGTTTTAAATCAAAAGAATCAGCTGGAAAATGATTTCACCAACAAATAGCATTAGAACACCCAGCTAGCTATTTGGAGAAATAAATAAAAAGAGTTTATTATGGCAGGAGCAGGAGGATATAGCTCAGTGGTAGAGGGCATGCTTAGCATGCATGAGGTCCTAGGTTCAATCCCCAGTACCTCCATTAAAATAAAGAGATAAACCTAATTACCTTCCCCCCAAAAACAAAACAAACAAACAAACAAACAAAAACAAACAGAAAGAGTTGATTACCTCATCCCTTATGTCAAAATTAAACCTCAGAAAGATCAAACTTTGTAATGTAAAAAGGAAATCTAGTAAAGCTCTAGAACAAGAGATTATTTTAAAAGTAATTTTAAATTGAGGAAAGCTAAGCTAACCACGTTAAAAAGATCCGAATTCCAAAAGAAAGAGACAAATTTGCTTGATATATTTGGCATCAAACCACTTAAAATTTACTGCATAGCACAAAGAAAACTTACCATACCGACTCTGAAGGACAAGTGACAAACAAGAAAAGAATTTGCAGTACGTATATCAAACAAATGGCTGATTTCCTTACTAAAGAAAGAGCCCTGTAAATAAAATGCTTAGAAGACCAACAACCTAATAAAAAAGTTAACAAAGGAAGTGAATTGACAAAGCATAGAAAAAAAATACACATGCAAATAATTGTTTGAAAAAAGGCTAATCTCCATTCACAATTTTTAGAAAACATACCAATCAGGAGACATGAGTTACCAATATCCACCATCACAGTGGCAAAGATTTAAAATTTCATAACACTGGGTTTGTGGGAAAACCAATATTGCTGTACAACATTGTTGGGAGTGTAACTTGGTGCCACTTCCTTGGAGGTCAATTTGTCAATCTCCATCAAAAGAGAAAATGAATTAATTCAGACATTTCTGATTCTGTTTTAGAAGAATAAAACCCCATGGCAAATGACAGCTTTTAATCATTGGGATTATGAAGCCAAATTTTTGTCATCTAGTGCTAGAACAAAGAGTAAGAAGCTTTTGTTTTTAATTATGCAAACATTTTGAAGCCACGTTTTCTTTTTCCAACAAGAGAAAGAACAAAATGGCAAGAAGCAACCGTACCATGGTAACTGAATTTGTCCTCATGGGGTTCACAGATCGCCCCGAGCTACAGCTTCCCCTCTTTGTGGTGTTCCTGGCAATTTATCTCATCACCCTGGTGGGAAACCTTGGCATGATCCTGCTCATCAAGGTGGATTCGCGGCTCCACACCCGCATGTACTATTTCCTCAGCCACTTAGCTTTCATTGATTTTTGTTACTCCTCTTCAATTGGGCCCAAGATGCTACAAAATTTATTGGTGAAGAAAAAAACCATCTCCTTTTTGGGCTGCTTTGCCCAGCTCTACTTCTCCAGTGCTTTTGCCACCGCCGAATGCTTCCTCTTGGCCACAATGGCCTATGACCGCTACATGGCCATCTGCAACCCCTTGATTTACACAGCCATTATGACTCAGCGGGTCTGCAAGGAGTTGGTGATCGGGGTCTATACCTATGGCTTCCTAAACTCTGTGATACAGACCATTCTGACTTTCCAGTTGTCTTTCTGTGACTCCAACATCATCGACCATTTCTATTGTGCTGACCCCCCTCTCCTCACCCTCTCCTGCTCCAACACCCACAACAAAGAAAAGCAGCTCTTGGTCTTCTCTGCAGTAAATCTCACTAGCTCCCTCCTGACTGTCCTCATCTCCTACATTTGCATCCTCTTTTCAATCATAAAAATCCAGTCTTCCGAAGGCAAGTGCAAAGCGTTTTCCACCTGTGCCTCCCACCTCACAGTGGTCATCATCTTCTATGGAACGCTCTTTTTCATGTACCTGCAGCAACCTAAAGCAGAGAATTCCTGGAAGCACAACCAAGTGGTCTCTGTGTTTTACAGTCTTGTAATTCCCATGCTCAATCCTCTGATCTATAGCCTGAGAAACACAGAAGTAAAGGACACCCTGAGGAAGATGCTAGAGGGCAAGAAGTCATAGTGGGTTATCAGAAGGAAGCACTGGGAAAGTATCTCATACTGACATGGTCTGTATACTCAGTCTCTTGAAATTTAGCAGGCCAGTTGCCATCCAATCAAGAAAAACAGTCAATCCAATCTGGATTCTTTAAAGACCCAAAATACTGGACCGTTTGTTTGAGATAGTACTATTTAATCTAACCAATTATCCTGGACTAATCAGAATAGATTTACAAACTAGACTGTTAATAACATCCTATGTTGAAAATGAAGTAGCTTATTAACAATTAGGTAATCAAGTGAGAAATTCAAAAAGATCCTAAAAATAATGGTCAGGGTGAAATTTAACAAAAGCCAACAAATTGTAATTGAAATTAACAAAGCTGGGTACAAAACCCACACATGAAAATCAATGTTCTTAGAACATTTTTCTGCTTACAAACAGGCTATATTGTAGAAAATCACTTGTTAATCTTAAAACATAACATATTGCTAAAGATGTTAACTTTTGAGACCGAATCACAGAAAGCAAATTTAATCTAAATGTAGTTGAAATACTGCATGCTTAAGATGAACAGTAGAAAAAGTAGTATTATAGCAATAATGGGGGATAAAAACAGAAAAACTATGAATCAGTTAAATGGGGGCTTTATTTTATGGTTTGTTTAGAAAAGAAAGTATAATTAGAAGAGATAGAGTTTAGGCTACTTTCAGAGATGTTCAAAGTGGTCATTTATGCAACAGGCAGGATTTAATTTTTCTAGTTTCTGGAACATGCAACTGCAGTAATTTTTAGGGGGAATGGTTTGGGAAGGAAGGAGTCACATATAAGTTTAAACAAGGGAAAGAAAATTAAGAAGAAAAATAAAAAGAAAGAGGGAGAGTTTCCTAGGGTAACCAGGTTGAGTATGAATATTTCTGAGAAATGAAATTGTTGTCTTAATTATTTAAATGATCTAGAGAAATACTTAGTTTTGCAACATTTTTCCATGTTTTTTATTTCTATTTTCAGATTTGATAGTCCAACTTTGTGAGAGATAAATCTATATAATGTCTTCCTGTTAATGAAGATAAGTAAAGAAAAATGTCTTAATTTTTTTTGTAGGCAGGAATATGAGCACGCTATGGTCTTTCCAAGCCTCTATTCTAACGCTTCTTCCCAGATAATTCTTAAGACACACAAATCTACCACAAACCATTAGATTTCCTCCCCTAAACTCTTTTCAAATGTGATTATTATTTTGATTTTTAAAAATAGCTAGGAACATATATCACCAATCAATTATGTTTAAAGTATGTTTAAAATTAATCAAGGAGTGGGGAGGTATAGCTCAAGGGGGAGGGTATAGCTCAGTGATAGAGTGGATACTTAGCATGAATGAGGTCCTAGGTTCAGTCCCCAGTACCTCTATTAAATATATATATATTTATAAACCTAATTACCTCCCCCCAAAAAAGTTAATCAAGGAACTAAGGGATCTTTGTTGCACCCAAATTTACTTTTCAGATAATATGATGGGATCTTTGTTTTATGTTGCTTGTGATCTAGTCATTTAGAAAAATAAAAATAGTTAAATATTTGTAATTCTTCTTACTTAGCTCAAATAGGCTTTCTGGAGAGTTGAGTTGCAAGCTGTATTCCTAAACATTTGGAGATAGAGTGTTGGCTGTGGTTAAAAAGAAAGATACTATCAGGATAAAGGAAAAGAGTCAGGAAGGGTATGAAGCAAGCCTAAGAGGTAGGAGAGCTTGCATAGGTAATGAGCAAGAGAGGAGAAGGCAAAGCAGACAGGAAAGTGATGAAGAATAATGGGAGGCAGAGGCTCAGACCATGACCTCCTGAAAAGTTACCAAGTCATCTCTTCATTCTGCATACCAGCACCCATCACAGTTCCTGGCACAGAACAAACATATCACAACCAATTGCTGAATTGATTTGTTCTCTTCTATATGTACTCCTAATTCCAATGGAAGTGTAGACATGGTGCCCAGTAATAATGGACCTGTGGTTGGGAAATAACAGAAAGAAGGAAGTTACTAAGGTCATGACAAGAAAATTATTTTTCTTTTCTTTTTTTAAAATTGAGGTGAAATTGGTATATAATATTATATTAGTTTCAGGTGTACAACACAACAATTCAATCTTTGTGTACACTACAAAGTGATTACCACAGCAAGAGGAAGACTTTATTAACATCCTTACCAATGAGGCTAACATCTTTAATGCAGGAAGACATATGAAGGCAACAACCCAGCCTAGCCAGTGAAAGAAATACATGTGGGAAGTCGGAGTACTGGGAAGATGGTAGTAGCTAGAGTTACTGATGCTCCATGTCAGGCAAGGGACCATTACTATATTGAGACAAAGAAAATGATCAGGTACCAACACTTAGATGAGAAATTATGTTTTCAATAAAAGGCCATACCCATTTCTTCCAATTTTTTCAAACTATTTCCATATCAGTTTCATTTAGAAAGAGAAAATAAAAACAGTAAATAGATATCACATGTTTTAGTACAATCGTCTCAGCAAATGCATCATAATCATATTTTTAAAGGGCTGTTTGGTCTAAGACTTCATCAGTTCTTCAGTTCTTTTTAGAGAAAACTGGAGAAGATATGTCACAGGACCTCTCCATAATGCCTCCCCAGCAGCTGAATTTGTCTGCTTTGTTCAGTGTGCTTCTTTGATTTCCTATAAAGCAAAGCAGAAAATTGAGAATATTGTATTCACAGATTGTGAAGGATATAAGTCCATATTTTTCTAAATTTCCCAAAGACCTAAAAAGCAAACAGAGGGGGAAAGGATCTGAATTAGCTCAATTTTGAGCTTATATTTTCTATGTCCTTTTCCACTGGGGCTCCTTAGTCTTATAAATTTATGTCTCTGATTTGGGCTATTTAAGAAAATTCTTCAATCAATTATTTACCTTTTAAAAAATCTGTTGCACAATGTACACACATATAGTATTAAAATGACAATATTTAAGCCATAAGAGAAACCAGCATGATTATGCATCTTTGTTCACTTATAAAGTGAGGCTGTTTCAATCAATACTCATAACAACTATACTAATTTTTGACCCAAAATAAACACTGTCTTCTGAATAAGTAAATGTTACCAAAATAATGAAAATTTTACCTTTATCAGATTTTAAAAGTCCAACATTTCATTCAAAGTGAAAATAAAACTGCTCTCACATATAAATAAAATGTAAGTCCATTTTCCTCATAGTAATCCTAAAAATGAATGTTATTTGCCAGCCTTCACTACACAATTTTCATTAACACATGTAATATGTAGCTGAAATTTATGACAAATGTATGTATAAATTTATATTCATTTGCACATAAAATGCTGACTGCTTCAATGAGCTAAAATTTAAATTTCTTATTTCTTCTCATTTAATATTTTATTGATTTCCCATGCTTAGGAAGATGCCAAAAAATTTTTTTTATTATGTTGATCATGGGAAAGGAAACCAAGAGGGCAATTACTATATTCATTTCCTTTTGTATTATTTGATGTGTGTAAATATTTCAGAAACCTCAGAATTTTTAAATCTCTAACGTGCACCCAGATTTTCAACTCTGTCCTGGATGTATAATTCTAGCATTCTTTGGAGAACAGGGTGGAATCACAAAATGTTAATTCAATGCTTAATTCAGAGTGGCTGCCGCCTGCTATTAAGTGGTGTACCCACCAGAGAGACAGGGAGTCACTGATGTCAGAACTTGGAAAGTTTAGGCTCCTGGGAAGGTGACAGATTTAGTCTATGCTTCCAAACTCTTCTTTTTTTTTTCCTGTAAAAATACAAACATTTAACAAATAACTAGAACTTCCATTTTTGGTAAGGTAGGGCAGATTGAAGAGGGGAAAGATCAGCTATTTTACAAAATCAAATAATTATCTCAATGCCATGGCAACAGCTTGACTGTCCTAACACAGACAGTTTTCAGAAGGTTTTATTCTGTAGTCTGAAAAAAAGGTTTTATTCCTACAAGCTTATTTTCTTGGGTTTGGTGTGTTGACCACTCTGGTACCGGGACACCTACCACCCTGCAGCTTCTGCCCCTCCTTACAGGCAATCTCATTTGCCAACCACACCAGATGTGGTGTAAGGATGCAGGATAGGACGGGGAGCCAGCCAGGTGCACTCTCCGGCCCACCCCTGGCTTACCTTCATATGGGGATGCTACGGCGTCTGCATGCTTCTCATACTTGAGCAAGAGTAGGGAGAGCTCCTGCCATCTCTGGGTTTCTCACAGAAGGTTTTTATTGCACTTCCATTGCCTTTCCTCTGAGAAAGAACCATTTTTAACTCTTCCTTATCCCTACCATCCCGTTTCACGTGAAAGCTAACATCAGCAATAGTATGCTTCCTTATCTCCTCATTTGCCTTAGGAAAACTAGCAAGTAGCTTTTCTTGGAAATCTTTCAGATGCAGAGCTTAAATTAATGTTAATTATAAAAGAGTAGTAAATTGAAAGGAAATTCTAATTAATGTTATTTATATTGGGGGATCACTTTTATAAAGAAATGTTAAAAATATCTTTCACAAATACTGGGGTGTCTTTCCTTCTTATATTTAACATGAATCACAGGTCCTATGGTGTCCACAGGTGCAAAATAACAACTCTGTCGCTGAGTTCTCTGCTCTATTTTAATTTCATTAAATTTAATAGATTAATTAGGTGTTAAAAGACTTCTAACGTTTCTCTCTCAGCCTATTCACATTTCTCTGTGCATCAAATTGTTAACTTATCAAAAGAAGTGCATGTGTAAAGTGCAGGTTTACTAAACCTGCAACTGGCTTCTGATAATGTCTATAAATCCACATTTGGGAACCATGGAATAGATGCCTGCATGCCAAGCAATCAAAATAAATTATGCTGGGCCTAGAAAGAAAAAAAAATATATGAT